GTGTGTGTGTGTGTGTGTGTGTGTGTGTGTGTGTGTGTGTGTGTGTGTGTGGATGCTGGCTGTAATACTGTATGGTTAGAGAGCAAGTTTAGTGTGTAGGTGTGTGTGGGTTGTGTGACATTCAGCAGATGGATATTACTATCTGTCCCTGGCCTATCTTGAACACCTCTTGAGGAAATTCCGCGTGCGTTTCTCGTGTGCAGACAAGGCTTATTCATGCACACGGCTTCACGCAGGTGCGAGCTAATGTACTCAAATCGGCAGACGCTCCCGCTCATGCTGCACTGCTCACTTTAACTGCTGCGTTATCGCCTGTTTCGCCATTGTGTGTATGTTTGACATTTCATAATTGCATCATTACTTGCTCAGTGCATCGCAATTTGCAACACATGCTTGGAGCAGACAGACTCTTGCCCTTGATTATGGACCTGAGTGGAATGGGTTCCTCATCAGGCTGTCTTGATTTCACCCCAGCATGTGGGGACACACATGCTGCTGTGGGTGAGTCTAATTGATGGTATGGCGCCCAATTTCCAGGTCCAAGTCTCCTTCGGGCAGAGCAGATCCAGCCAAGTGAAGGATGAGCCCAGGCAATGGTTGTTCCTCTAATAGATTGGCATGGTCTTCCCCCAACACTCCCACCATATGCCACCACTGGTATCACTCTCAGACATCTCCGAGGGCAGTATGTGGCACAATGAGGCATTGTCCCTGATTAGAAGTGGTAGAACGGACTGAAGTTTTGCATGTCTGACACCAAACAGCTCCTCCAGTTTACCAGACTTATCCTTCCACGACCAAGCAATCAAAGTACTCACTCTATTATTTTTTTCCCCAGGAAGGCTTTTATAGGAAATAATACATTAAATGGTTGAGGGGTTTAACGTCAAAAATCTTCATTTCAACAGGTCACCCTCCTTTCACTCTGAGAAGTGCCGTTTCAAAGCTTATTGGATGAAAGTCTCATTTATTCCTGGCTGCCAAAGATGACGCTGCCATGGAAACTGCTTCTATTGCTATCAATCATCAGCCGTCTGACAGGTAAAGCACCTTTTTATATAAAGTAATGATTTTTTTTTTTTTACATTTGGACATTCGGGTTTGTGGGACAGTGGGTGAAGAGATGTCAGGGATGATAGGAGGCCCCGGTTTAAAGGAGCACTCCTCACTATTGACTTTCATTCACAACCCAGACACAATGCTTTCCATCTTCTTCTTCACTCCACTGAGATTAGAACCCAGGGATAAGATATGACGCTTTTATTCTGTAATCTTTTCCGCGGCATTGTGCAAGAGCTTTCCCCTCCGTCACAGAAATGTATTTGTTCATAAAATTCACAATGTTTTCTATTCACCGAGAACAATCAGGGCAAATTACTCATCTGAGTGCATCTGCACACGATGCACCAAATCTTTGTGAATGATATGGGTGTTTTTTTTTTATTATTTTTTATCCATTGACATGAAGAACAGGCTTTTTAAGTCGTTCATTCTCAGATGATTTTGTTTAGAAGAAGAATTTAAACATGACAGAATCACTTCCAGCCTTTTTTAGTATCCAAACTCATTCTTCTTGTGAGACTATATAAAATCATGTCCTGATGCATCTCAGTAATCCAGGTAAAAAATCAAAAAGAAAAAAATTGTATAGGTCTTCTGGACGGGTTCTTCTCTAATGAAACGTTTCGTCTCTCCTCCAAGAGACTTCTTCAGTCTGAGAGTTTCAGGCAAAATTCAGGCTTTTAAGCCCTGCCTCCATGTGACTGATACTCACATCACATGGCTATCATTGACACCTAATTAACACTTATTGTTAACAGGGGGTGGAGTGATACTGGCAATAGCCATGCTGTAGGAGGGGGACAACTGAAAACGGAGGCCTCCACCTCTGTTTAATGATGGACGGTCTTTCTTCACAAAAATGGCTTCTTTTACTCCTCTCTCAAACCAACGTTCCTCCCCATCAAGAATGAGAACATCCTCATCTATGAAAGAGTGACCGCTGGCCTGAAAATGAGTGAAAACTGCAGAGTTCTGGCCATTAGACGTAGCTCGTCTGTGTTGGGACATTCTTTTGAACAGTGGCTGCTTTGTTTCCCCGATGTATAACTGGTCGCAGTCCTCCTGGCACTTAACAGCATATACAACATTGCTCTGTTTGTGCCGGGGCACCGGATCTTTGGGGTGAACCAACCTTTGCCGTAATGTGTTTTGGGGTTTGAAAGCCACTGGGACATCATGTTTAGAAAATAAACGTCTCAGTTTCTCCGAAACACCCGCAACATAYGGAATAACCACTGGTTTGGGTCTGGGTTTGGGGTCTTCATTTTCAAAAATGTGTTTCGGAGAAACTGAGACGTTTATTTTCTAAACATGATGTCCCAGTGGCTTTCTCATTCTTGATAGAGAGGAACGTTGGTTTGAGAGAGGAGTAAAAGAAGCCATTTTTGTGAAGAAAGACCGTCCATCATTAAACAGGGGTGGAGGCCTCCATTTTCAATTGTCCGCCTCCTACAGCGTGGCTATTGCCAGTATCACTCCACCCCMTGTTAACAATAAGTGTTAATTAGGTGTCAACGATAGCCATGTGATGTGAGTATCRGTCACATGGARGCAGKGCTTAAAAGCCTGAATTTTGCCTGAAACTCTCAGACTGAAGGTCTCTTGGAGAAGAGACGAAACGTTTCATTAGAGAAGAACCCGTCCAGAAGACCTAYACAATTTTTTTCTTTTTGATATAAAATCATGGAATAATAATTGTCAGACTCTGTTCAAATGAACTATTTTTCATTGTATTCTGAGGAAGTAAATGTTTATGTGACAGATTGCATGGACAGTGGGTCATACCATGGCCCACGGTGGAGGATGGAGCCGGGGGACTTGTTTATCCCTGTTGACTCCATAGAGGAAGAAGCCACCTTAACATGTGATGCTAAAGGAACGCCTCCTCCTCAGTACAGGTAAGAGCAAAAACCCTGTTTTCTAGTATGAATGTGACTGTCACTCTTTAGTGGATGCATTTAAATGGACCTAGTCCCGTGATTAGCAGATGAAAGGTGCAACGGTGTATAAAGGTCATAAATTATCAGAATAATGTTATGTTATTCCGAGAATAAAGTCATAATGTTTCGAGAAAACAAGTGGTACAAGAATAAACATATAGTAATGTTACAAAAAAAGTCTTATGAGAAAAAAAATGCAATAATATCATGATAAAAAAGTTGTACGAGAAAAAAACAATTATGCTAAAAAGATGTACGAGAATAAAGTCGTAATACAAAAAAGTCATACGAGAATAAAGTTACAATATTTTGAGAATATAGTCTTTAGTTACAATAAAAACATATGCGAGTAAAGTCATAACGTTATGATAAAGAAGTAAGAGAATAGTCATAATGTTACAAAAAAAGTTGTACGTGAATAAAGTCGTAATGTTATGAGAAAAAAGTTGTACAAGAAAAATATAAAAAGATGTACAAAAGTAAAGTCATAACACAAAAATACGTCGTACGAAAATAAAGTTACAATATTTTAGAATAAGTCATAATGTTACGATGAAAAGTTGTATGAGTCATAATATTACCAGAATAAAGTTGAAATAATATAAAAATAGAAAAGTTTTCGAAACAGACACATTGGTTTGAAGCACAATTGTTTTTAAGTCTTGCTACTGATAATAATTTAATGCTGATGTGTTAAAAAGATTAAGAATTTCATTTTTTTGTAAAACAGATACCAAAGAACAACTTCACAAGATGCTCAACATTCCTCATGATAATGCAGTGTTAAGATTGTTTTTTGGTGTAGGTCTCATATCATTATGACTTTATTCTCATAATTAGAAAAAAACATGTACATCTTATTCTGACCTTAGTACTCATGTAAGTATAGAAGCACAGAGCATAGAAGTGCATCTTTCACCACCTGTTTTAGAAATTTCATGGGTGAAAGTAATGAGTTTGTAATATTTCTTTCTTAATTTTTGGGCACATTTTTAAGCTTTATAATATACAAGGCTAATTAAAACTCAAAATGAAAAAGTTATTTCTCAGTTATTCTATTTTTTTATTTCCTGGTGGTGTTTCATTTTTCTCTTTCTCTCTTGAAAACATGTTGATGTGCACAAGGGCAAATGGAAAACAGTCCAAATAATTTTTTTAACTGACTATGTGGCTGATGAAATGAATTAAAAAGCAATTTAAAAAAAAGAAAAAGAAGAAGAAGAAGCGTTTTGTCAAAATGATGCCAAAGGTTTTGTTTTCTCAGTGATTTATATTTGCCTCGTTAAGACTTTTTTGATGCTGAGATGAAAGATGATGAAAACACAAATGTGTAGATGAAAATATCTTCAGACATACTGATTATGTCACTAACATGACTGATCACTGCGTTTAGAAAATAAACACGGCCGATTTTCCCTGATATGCAAGAAGAAACATAATTGTATCTTAATGGAACAAAGTAATAAAGACGTGCTTCATTTTCCTCTCATATTTAAAACAGAAAGATTGTCAACAGAGGATGTTGTTTGATGTAAAAACAGTGACTAAGGGCACTCAGATTGCATCATTTTTATCTATTCCCAAAAAAAGACATAAGAGCAAGTATTTTCCCATACCTGCACAGTGTTTGAGGCCGTCTGTTAGCAAAAATATTTCATAAACCACTGAATAGATTTTAATGAAAGACTCTTAAGTGCTACTGAAGTTGAGGTTTTTGGTTTCTGAGATAAAGACTTTTTTAGCAGAATTGTCATAAGTTATGTTCACATATCACAATGCCTCATTTTAAAATCTTTTTTAAATTACACGTTTTAATGTCATATCATGTTTATGCATAATATAATGTTTGTCTGTTCAAAGCAGGGATCATCAAATATGGAGTGATGTAGAGAAATGATTAGGAGAGCATGATGAAATTTGGCAAACACCTTATCGTTTGTTTTAGATATTATCGTTCCACTAATCTGAAAGAAGACACGCTACAAGAACAAGATAGGTGCAAATGCCAAAACTGAGAGAAGGATTCTCTTTTCTTTGTATAACTACAAATCTGTCCATTTGCAGCTTCCCACTCAGCCAAAGTCACTTTGGGTCATTCAGTGAGCAGAAATAAGGATTACTAATTGCAAGAGTATAATTTTCCCGTTGAAAAGAAAGTGTGCATTCTGCTCTATTCATTTTGTCCTAATTAGATTGAAATGCATACGGACACTCTGAGCAGTGGTGTCATTATGGCTTTACTGACTCATATTGACTAACACACCACCAATCTGCCGCTCCTCTCACCGGAGAGTTTCTTTCTCAGAGACACACATGTAGCATCTTAATGACCGTCTCTTTTTGTGAAACACCACGAGAACAATGCGGGTTGCTAGACACCAGTCGGCACTAACAGGCATTGATTACAATTACCTCGGGTGTTCGGCGTTTACTGCAGCGCAGCCAGGACACCTGAGCTGTGTGGTAGTGAAGGGAATAGTGTACGTTCGTTATTGTGGGCTTTTCACCACCTAATACCAGGTATTTCCATGTACTGATTAAAGGTGCAATGAGGATGTTTGACGCGGCGTCTCGTCAGACTGGCTGTTCAAGGCTCCTCATGCCCCTACTACCTCTCCGGCTTTGCTCTTGAAGTGTAAATGGGCTCCCATTGCTCCCTCGGCCCTTCTTCTCCTCTCCCTCTTTTTTCTTCCTCCTGACACTTCTGTCACTCTCATAAATATAAGTCTTTTAAACTGTGCACACACAGTAGCAGCATAGAAAGGCATAGGAGAGGAAAAGCATCTTCTTTCTCTTCTCTAAATGCAAAAGTGTCTCCGTTTTTTAAAAACCTAAACAAAAGGCAGCTTATGTAACAGTTTTTATTATCGCCCCCAGCCAAAGGTGAGGTGGTGATGATTTTTTTGTCATTTGACTGTAGCATTAAAATATCTCCTGAATCACTGAATGGATTTTGATGAAACTAATCATTTGATGCACATCTGCTACTGAATAACATTTGGAGTTAATCCCATTTAAGATGTCTGCCATGGCGAATCAACCTTAAACACAAAAAGTGCTAAAACCCAGACAGTTTTACAGATATTGAGCTCAAATTTGGGGTGGCAGTTGCTGAGAGTTGTACCTAACATATTCTCTCAGAGCTAACTAATCAAGCGAGATATGTGTTTCAAATGTTGCTCTTAAGTTAACTTTGTCTGTTTGTTAGCCAGTTATGTTACAGATCCACATATAAATAAAACTTTCAGAAAGTAATCATTAAATAGAAGTCTTCAAATCCAGTGTTTTTCAACCCTGGTCCTCAAGGCACATTGCCCTGCATGTTTTTAGATGTTTCTCTGCTTCAACACAGCTGATTTCAGTTAACAACCGATTAACAAGCTTTGGTTGAATTGTAACATTTGGATCATTTAAAGCAGGGAGACCTCTAAAACATGCAGGGCAGTGTGCCTTGAGGACCAGGGTTGGGAAACACTGTTCAAATCAATACATTTTAGAGCAGGGGTGCCCAAACATTTTCCCCGAGAGGGCCAAAATGAAAATCTATCCAGGGCTGCGGACCAAATGCAGTAATATAATACATGAAATACAAATACTTTTGTAAGTAAAGTCCTTTATTTTTAAAGATTATGCTATGCAATGGCCCTCTTTTGTTTTAGTCTGTGCACTTGGAGAAAGTCTGCCATACCCTCAAGTAGCAAAGGCTCATGGGATATTTCATAAATTGATAAAATATGAGGTTTTTGTGGCCTTATAAAGTGTGCAAATCTACATGTGGGGTCAAATCTGATCTAAAAATTTCTTGTTGTCATTTCATGTTTCATGTTTAATCCTAATAAATCAAAGATAAAGTCAGCACCATGAATGAAAACTACCTTCACTACAGCCCTTTTATATAGTCATTTGACCAATGGAAATACTGTGTTTCTACAAAGGATAACAGGTTACAACCTTGTAACTTTGGCAACTGTTGGTGGGCCAAATCAAATGGCTGCGGACCCCACTTTGGGCTTCTTTGTTTTAGAGGCTACCCATTTCAACATAGCCAACACAAATTTACCGACCTTAAAGTGCCAGTAATGTCAATTTTTGTAATAAACAGGAATGCATTTTTGGAAAGGTAACATTGATAAAATATTTCAGAAATAAATTTACGCCGCTGATATGAAAAGTTTTTGAGATAGAGTATTTGCATATGAAGTAAGAGGAAGTGATGAAAAGGGGAATGACTTAATGTCAACTGAGCATTTTTTTACAATAGCTAACAATGCAGACTGAAGAGAATAATCTGATGTTTCTTTAGATTGTTTTGAGTCTATCAGAGGGAAATGAGGAAGAGTCAGATTTCAAATAGCATTGTTTCAATAAACAAAACCAGGGAGTTTTCTTTCTTAATGTGTTCCTCTTTGATGTCACTTCCTGTTTCACTTTGGCTGAGCTACGTTCAAACGAAAATATACCAGTTATTTGACAAAATAAGTAAAATCATGTCTATTACGTATGCCAAGTTTCTTAAATATATAGAATTTTTTTATTTGAAGGATATGCCTGTCATAAGCACTTTAAGAAACAAAATTGTTATAATTAATCAATTTACAAAAATGTGACTAAGTTTGGTATAGTTGTAGCTGCAGTGCACTCACAACACAAACTCCAAGTGTTAATCATTGTGATTTTTGTGGATTTTATTTTAAATAGCCCTGTTCAATTGTTAGCAAAATACTTCATGAACCACTGAACCACTCAATGCAGTTCCCAGCAGGAAGTTATTGAGTGTATGTATATCTTAAACTGATTATCTTTTGAATTCAGTCCAGTTCAAAATGGCCACCTTAACTAATCAACACTAGCCAGCAGAAATTGACTTTAACTTGGTCATATTTACAGGTATTGTGCTAAAGTTTGGTGTGGTAGTAGCTGAGCTACACTACATTCTCAGCTGATTTCTTAAGGTATCA